GTGTGTGTGTGTGTGTGTGTGTGTGTGTGTGTATATATATATATATATATATATATATATTCTGTTATCTCAGTTAAATCTCTGTAGAACATGATATTTCTCATTTTATAAGCTTCTTTAAGGTTTAAAGACTTGAAACTTCATGTGCTGTTTGCTTAAAACTTGTGACAGATCATACATTTGTGTTTCACAAAATATATGGAACCAATGAATCTTAGACTAGAGAATAATCAGCAGGGTTCGAGATTTGCAAAATTTCTAACTGTTCCTAATCAGGTTTAAATGGTCTGTTCCAAAAACATGTTTGTATACATGTCCATTCCATTTACCAATTGCAGATGTCAATTTTTTAAAGAAATAAATAACTGCAAATACTTATGTGCATATATGTGAGTAACATTAACAAAAACTCATTAACTGAGAACCAAGAGGCAAGGTATTTCTCCATTAAAATGTTAATATTCATCATACTTCGTTTGCATTGATCTCACCATTCACAAGTTCTAGGAACCTCATTTTCATTTCTGATGTTATAAAAATTTCTTATAATGTTTACAAATAAGTCAGGGATCCCCAGAAAGCTAAAAGCTCCATTTGGACAACTGAAGTAAAGAAGAAACTTTCACAAGACAAAAACGTAACTATGATTTTAGGAAAATTGTATAAAAACTCAAGTTTGAGGACAAGGTAAAATGAAAAAAACATGCTCAAAATTCTAATCAGCCCTACTAGGATTATTATTTTTTAAAATTCTAATCAATTCACAGGCCTCTTCCTGGTTAGGGCTAACTAAATAACGTGAACTTCAGACCCTGCTAGTAGGTGTGTCAAAATCTAGATATATGCATTTTAAATAGGTATAATACATTGCAAGAGGAGCTTTAAAACTCAACAATAGTAATGTACTGAAAATAATATGAGAGAAACTAATTTCAGAAAATTAACATTCTGAAGGAAGACAGCAAACACATGATAAGTGGTTCATACATATATCAAGACACTAAATTTAAGGACTTTTCTAAAAACATTTTAAAGACCCAAGGCTAGGGGTATACTGCAGCACTTTCTTTTGCCAATAACTGGATACTGATACAGAGTCCAGTAGAACTTTTTGATCGATTAATACCATGAAGAATAGTGATACAACAAACAATAAACTGTCTTGTTACCAGAAAATTTGAACTGCATAATGGAAGATATTGCTTATGCAATTAATAGATCTACATAACTGCCAACTGCCATTTTATTCTTCTTTGTTTCAAGTGTTATTTAGTATTTAACAACTTGCATAATAATGGTATATATTTATAGAACAATGTTCATTCAGTCTTTCAGATATTTAAAATTTACAAATCAGAAAAAAAAAAAAAAAATATTACTTTTGTTGAAAAATATATGAAATGAGTAATACACATTGAGATAATTGATCACCTTTACACTCTAAGTAAAATTACTGAATTCCCCAACATTTTGACATAACATTCTTACCAAAAAATATGTAAAATTCATAATGGCTTTAGACTGACAAAGTAACTTAACCCTTTCATCACAAACATAGTCAACAAATGATTAATTGTTGTTGACAGCAGATATCAACTTTTCTCCACAGCCATCAAAAACTTTTCTTTTTACAGTGGAAAGTGACAATCCTCCACGAGCTTGAATTAACTGCCAGATACCAGGTGTGCTGACATCTGGAAGCATGAGAGGAATATACAAGTATAAACAATTCCTAAGTTGGGATCCCAGCTGTCAGATGACCCAAGGCACCCATGCCTGTCAACTGACTGTCATATTTTCTCTGTCTTTACCATACTTTAGGTAAGTTATTGATGTCATAATGTCAAGATATGTAAGTGTAAGTGTGCATTATATATCATAATATATCATAATGCATAATACAGTGAAATATACTGCTAAGTTACCACGTTTTTGATGGAGAAATGACACTGAATGAGGAATGACCATGGAAACTAATTATGAGGTGAAAGGGTTAAAGAAATACAAAAACATTTTCATAGACTATAGCTACATAAAACTGTTGAGGATGTGAATCTGATTTTGACTGCTTTATTTCAAATACAATGTCATGTACGATATTAAAAGGCTTTGAACTCATTTGTTGGTTTCAAAATTTTTTATTTATCAAGTTGAATCTCATACACAAAATGTATTTACTTACAGATGTATACATATTATACATAAAATTCACAAAAAAACTATTTATATTACTGTAGACTAAGTATAAGAAAACTTTTAGGCATGATAGGATATTGGCAAACATGTACATGTATCATACTTTGTTAAAGTATGTGTAACAACATTCCAGTATCATACCTATAGTTACTTATCTTCTCAGAATAGGCCCCAGTTTATATTACACTTTAAAGATAAGTGTGCAATTTTTATTGCTTCACATAAACCACATTCAGAACACCTAGATTTAATCACTGAAAAAAGTAGACTGTCTGCCAACTCTACATAATCAGACTGAGTTTGTGTTGAAATCTGTATTTTAACAGAATGTAAGAAATTATAACAGCTTTGTGACCTAATGCAACAATTATATCCCACCTGTATGACTTAACAGACTAGTTTGCAATATGTTGATAAATACTGAATACATATGTACATGTACTTACACCAATATCGAACACCCATAAATAATTAATGAAACATATTTTGGATTCTGTCAGAAATATTAGTGAAAGGCAGCCTTCTTTAAGTAAGATCCAAGTTTTTCCCTATGGGAGGTTACCCAGATAATATTAAAAATAAACTTAAATCCCTTGAACTCTAAATCATTTTGAATCCAAATTTTTTGGTTGCAGCCTTCTGTCAAAACATAAACCTTATAAACAAAAAGAACAAAAAGCTGATATCTTCAATTTACCATTATATCTATTAAATATTTGCTGTTTGACTGAATTATCTGTCCAATTTCCTTGGATAGCAACAAGCATTCTTAGTTTTCAAAGATCATTGTGAGCAAGTAAAATAAAAATCAGCTTTTCATATTTATTCTATTGTTGTCAATTCTAGTTTCACACTGGCATTTGTCATCAGGCACTAAATTTAACTAATTTTTGGTAAAAGTGATTAAAATGCTCTGGACATTTCAAAGCTTACAGTTAATAATATAATATAATACTTACCTAATCCTTTATTCTTGAAGAGTTTGCTACATAAAAATATTGGGGCAAAACTTGAACATTAATAGTCGTTTTAATTTCTGACATCATTGTGTGTAATTTCTTGATTTTTCCAGTTAATTGATTATGTGAATGCAACATGCAGAGGTAAGTTGAGGGGTGTTTCTTTATAGACTTAGATTTTATGAGTCACAGACTATAGCTACACAAGACTATTGAGGATGTGAATCTGATTTTGACTGCTTTATTTCAAATACTATGTCATGTACAGTATTAAAAGGCTTTGAAAAGATGGGTGGGGATTGTTTTCATGTGGGGGTTGACTGGTTGTCCAACTAAACTATTCATTTTTATTAGAAGTTTACAATTTTAAAGCACTTTTAGGCAATTTTGATAGTGAAATGTATAGATTTACAAATTTTCAAAGACTTGAATTTAATAAAAGGTAATTTCAAGTACTTATCAAGGTTTTCAAGCACCTGTATGAAAACTTTTTGTGATTTATTTTGCAAGGTATGAAATTACACGTTTTAGTGTAGAGAAGAAAATTTACATTTTATTATATATTTCAAAGTCATGGTTAACAAATACTATTTTTTATGTAATAACTATTCACATACCTTTTCTCCTCTTTTAAAAGCAAAGAAGAAAATTAAAGAAGGTGATTAATACACTGCACAAATATACCAAAATGTTACATCAAAATTTTGAATAATAAACAGGTCATCTAAACTTATATAGATCCTTAACAAATACAACATTAAGGAATATACCACAATCAGGGTCAGAATCCAAAGTTTTGACTTACACCAGTGTTCTGAAATCAGAAGTCTGTAAATTTAAGCTATTAAGGCTTAAATCCTAACCAAAATATAGCTTCATATCTTAGCTACTACAATATGAAAAATTATTTAGTAACTTTTCAGTTTGATGTCATATAAAGTAGGGCAACTCATTTCATTGCAGTGATCTTAATTTACAATTCTGTTTATCATAATTGTATATATTCCATATACAAGTACTAATGCAGCACTCAAAGTTTTTGTTTCAATAAAAAAAATTTAATGATAAGAGAAATTATACATAAGGCATCCAATTACTTCCATCTTCCGGCACCAGATTTCCTGTCACCAACAAAACAATATCAACAATCCACCAAATGCCTACCCCTCCTAAAGTTAACAGTTTTCCCACTGCAGTGCCAGTGTGTCCAAGACAAAATCGATCCATTCCAAGAAATCCTAGCAACACTGAATACAGTAGAGTTGTTGTAAAGTAGTGTCCTGTGTACCTGAAGAAAAAATTCTTTATGTAGTGATTTCTAAACTCGATTACATAGATCTTTATTTGAAAATAAAGCATACCTTTCCATAACTGTTGAATTTAACACTACATACCATGTCTAAACTTTTCCAGTAAAAATCTTTTGTTTTTCAATATTCTAGTCAAGTAGTTTTTAAGATGTAATCATTTTAAATATAAGGTTTTCTGTATAATCACCATGTATAATTCTTCTTTATTATAACTATTAGATAAATTAGCAATAAACTGACTACTGATCATATTTTTGACTCAACTTTTACTCAAGAAAATTTTGCAAATAAATATCCATTATCGTTACACGTTTGTTACCTTCATGGATTTTAGTTTTCATCAATTACCACTGGTGTATAAGTTAGACCTAATAAAATATCAATATACACAAATTATCATTACTTTTTATATGTGGAATGTCAACAACTAATAAAACAAACTGGTGTAGTAAGACTCAACTTTGATTTATTTTTCAAATGTCTAGGGCGCCTAATGAAACACCAAAAAAAGCAAAATCACTCGAGACAAATAAGTACTATTAACATTACTTCTTACATATACACAAATTCCTTTGCCAATTTTACTAGGTAAGAAAAAGTATCTTTATTGCTGGATCATATCATTTCTGAATTTTATTTAATAGTCATGATTATACAACTGTAAATAAAAGCCAAAATTAGTATGCACAATTATTATGAAAAAGATTTTAGCCTTGAACTAAAAATAAGTCAATATGTATTAAACTGTTCAAAATATGTATACAAAATATTTGCTCACAAGTTATATGTATACAGTAGATTAACTGTTAAATGCCATGAGGCATCGATTTCACACACTTGTCTTATGGTTTGTTTTATTGCATTGTAAAGAAAACGACTGGATGAAATTGTTTGAAACTTGTGATGAGCTTTTTCCTACAGATTATGTGGCTTCTGTAAAAAATAATTTTATATGTGATATCTATATGAATTCTTAGCTTTGGAAGTTTAAAAAAATTCTCAGTAAAATGTCTTTTTTGGGAACTTTACTGCAGATTTCAATTATTAATATTTATATCTCCTTACATTCTTGTATCATTTTTGAATAAAATTTTCATTTCATAAAACAGCAAATTTTGTCTTTGTTTATTTTTGAAAAACACTATACACAAATTCACTGTCTGTACAATCAGACATAAAATAAAGTTGTTTTGTTCACCACAGCAAAATTCTAAGCAAGCTGACATTTTAATTTTGAATAAACAATTGCTTTATTACCCTTATTGTTACTATGAATCATGGTTACTTAAATAAAAGAATTGATTTCATCTGTCAAAGGATCAATGTCAAGAGCATATTCAAAAATTATCCCATTGTCATTAATTTGTGAAATGTTCATTAGATGCCTCTTTTACCTGACACATGGAAAGCCATCTTTTAAAAATGATTTGTTCCCATAACATTCTATTCCATGAAGAACTGTACAATTTACCCGAGTTTGCTCAACATCTTCATAACGCTGGCCACCAAACTATTAAAAGAAATAAAAGCCATTAAGTAAATTTGTTTCCTATTTTAAAGCAATGATATGAAAAAAATACAAAAATTCATAATCTAAGTCTTTTTGTTCTCTGTTACAGCAAGGGGTAATGCAAAATATGTTTTATACTGGTAGCCCAATTAGAAACTAGCCACTTATGTCCATGTTTCTAAACAAACCAAATAAAAGGTTCCAACATAGACAAAACACAAGAATACTGTCTTTAATATATTTTAAGAACAGAATAAGAAATACATGTATCTGTGGCTACTAAATTAAAGTTGCTATAGATAGAAATTATGTAATGTTTATTTTGCATCCAGACACAATATCTTTGTATGCGATACAGTAAAATAACATGCAACAGGTACTCTGAATTCAGATTATTCATATTCACTGTTTTGAAATATACCAGCGAGTGTTACATTTGGTAACCAAATTTTCATTTTTTTAAAGGTCATTTTGCTCTAAACATTCTATGATAAAAACTGAAGAAAATCACTTTTCTAAAACCTTATAACTTAGAAAGATCATGTTTTTTCATAACTGTGTAGCTAATCAACCATTCATGATTTAAAACAAATAGTATGATATGTATCATTACACAAAGAATTACAGGTGTGCTCCAAGAAAAAGTTTCTGATTTCAGAACAAAGAAACAAAAAAAAAATATTGCTAAAGAAAACAAATTTAGTAATTCTAAGAATTCTTTAGATTATCTTATTCACTAAAAGGGAAGCTGCATATGTCTAAATACTTGATACTTCTAGCTAACATTGGGATGTTCGGAAGGACACAGAAGTTAATTTTCCATGGGTCAAACTTAATAGAGTACATGTATAATCAACAATGGGACATCATTTCTCAACACAGTAGTCACTGAATAGGATTAATTTGTTTCATCCTTCTATAAGCTTCATCATATCAATTTGGCAAAATACTAAATTGTGGTGTTATGATGTAAATAACAAACAATTGCTTTCAGAATGTCAGTTATATGGAAGTGATGTCTACACAAATTGTCGTTGAGAGGGTGAATAAAGAATGAATTAAGAGGGTACTAACTAAGGGTTATTACGTAGAATAAGGCAGGTCTGTCAATTAAAACAGATTGTATGACAAGCAATATAAGGCTCAGAATTATCATGTTGCATTAAAACATCTTCTAACAGTGAATGGATATTGACCTTGTGATGATTCTCATGTGCATGTGACACTAGGACATCACCATATAAATTAATATGGACATCTTACTAGTTGTACTTATAACTCTAATACTCCATAAAGTTATAAATAGCCTATACTGTGTTATGTGGACAGCTACCCTACTCCTGTTACTCTTTACTTTATATTTTTCTATGTTGCAGCTCAGAATACATGGGTGTCAAATGTTTAATCCTTCTGCTGTGTAATTTGGATAAATCCAAATAAACATTTATACCCACTGGATGCAAAATTCGGATTTACCACACAGCTACCAAAAAAGTTTCCCTCTACTGCAACATGTGGGAATATCCCCCTGTACTTGAAACAATCACCAAATCTGAATGTGTGCTGCCATCTGTGTTCTACGCCATGAAACCTGGATGTTTATATGTTTCATTACAAAATTATCAACTTTGCAGGAACACAAAGAATCTATATAAAGACAGATTCTTTATATCTTAGATATTGTTATCCAAATCATGTGTTTTATATTTTGTAATGATTTTGGCCTCTTGTTGACTTAGTTTAACTTATATTTAATGCCATTTACTGGAGAATACTTTTCTTCTAATTTTCCTCAATTTTTTGTTTAAATCATCATTTTTCATTATCCAATATGGTTTTCAAGGAATATTACTGTCAGATATAGAAAATACAGCTTCTTTCAATATTGAGAAAGTAACACAAAGGGTCAAATTCATAGTTTTATTTTTTGGTGGATAATTGACACTTTTGGGGCATCAACCTGAAAATTAATTGCATAGTGAAAGGGTTAAAAGACTTTATATACCTCTCTGTAAAGAACATATCAACAATAAACACAACATACATTATACAAGATTAATGTCAGTAATTGTTTTTTGAATAACTATTATGACATCATAGCTTAACTTGTACTACTGCCTTATGCTTTTGAAAAGAAGACTGGAATAATATGTAATGCTCAATTGGTTCCTCACAACCTGTTAAGACAATTCCATTGTCCACAGTTTACATGTATTTAGCATATGGGGAAAAAAAATCTTGTTTTTTTGTTTCTTGAACATTCCTTATAAAACATTAGCACAGATAAAAATAAGGAATGAACATAACTGCAAATATGCACACATGTACATCAACTAAGAATTCTGCAACATGATGCTATTTATACGTGTAAATGAAACACAAGTTGTAACATATATTTGTAAGTACAGCACAGATGTTCAAAAAATGATTATACTAGTTTTTTAGATTTTTTTTTTTTTACCAATGAACTAACACCTAAGAAAGATGTTGTCCCTTTTAAAATAGATGTGACTGGTACTTTAACATATGCCAAGAGAACATTGAGAACACTGAAAAGAAATGGAAACTTTCACTTGTTACAGATTTAAATCTAGTTAGCAAGGTGTTATGTTCAAATCACATTAGTATTGTATAAATATTTTCAGGTTACCATTAACAGTTACAAATGTCTACATCACAATAATTAAACAGTTCAGATATATATCCAATATACTCACTTTGGTGCACCCATAGCCCAGTATTTCCTTAGCCGTTGTGTTTCCTTCTAAATCTAATGGCTCATCACAACTTAAAAACTCAAGAGGCCTGAAAAACGTACATACAAACAAAAAAACCACAGACACATCTAAATATTCTAAGTTTGATGAATCAATGGTTTCAAGCTATATTATACACAGCAAGTTCCAGAACTGACTACTTCATATTCTAAACAATATACTAGTTTTAAAAGCAGAATCTTATACAATGAATTATACTCCTATTTATAATCTTTAAAGTTAAATTAAATATTTAGCAACTGAGCTTTAATTATCTTACAAAGTAATGCATTTGAGTTATCATAATTTCATTTACATGTTTAAAATAGTTGGCTCACTGGATTGAAAAATGGTTGGACAGAAGAAAGTAGAAGATTAATATAAGAAGAACACTGAACTATTGAAAAGGTTCAAAGAAGAGCTACTACGATAATAAATGGGATGGAAAAGTTGTCACATGAGAAACACTTAAAATCTCTGCAATAGTTTTCTCTTCAAGAAAAGAAGTTAGTTGGAATCTGAATGTGGTGTTTAATATTGTTAATGGAATTGATAGTGTTATTTTTTTTTCCTAACAAAATGGCAAGAATGGTAGGACAAGTAGACACAAATATAAATTTTGGTAGGGTTAGGTGTAACCTTCAGCTAAGACAATTTTTACTTTTCAAACAGGGTGGTTGGCTTTTGGAATGTGTGCCCTTCAAATGTGGTGGATACAGTAAATTTCAGGGAGCTTAAGGGAAGGTTTCATAAACATTTAAATGATAAATGCTGGTTTTGAGTTCATATTTATAGTTTAATTTTGTGGATGAGACAGCCTTAATGGATCAACAGGCCCTTTGTTGCCCTTAAATGTTATGCAATAGCATAATTAAAGAAAAGGAGTTTGACAAAGTAGTGAATAAGTCACTTAAGCTATTAAACAGTGCTTTGTTGCTAATAGTAAACCTAATGTAATTTTAGGATGCATGTACATATATACTGATTACAAGTGAAGAAGTAATTGTCTCTCATTACAAATCACTATAGTTTGTCATCACTTGAAGTCTTTGTCTCCATATCTAAGAAAGTATATTGACTTACTGAAGAGAATTCAGAGGAGGAGGGTTGATGATTCCTGGTATGAAAGGATTATTTTATAAAAATAAGTCAAAATCTTTTTTTCAGATTATATTCTCTTGAGAAAACAGGATAAAGATTATATTGTTGAAGTTTAGAAGAATAAGCAAGGAATCAATAATAAAAAGGCCTCTGATTTTTTGTGTTGAATTCTGAAAACAATATGACAAAGAGTTAAAAATTGAAAAGTTGGAAAAAGACAGGCTAAATTTAAGACAGTTTTATATTGATAACAGGGTGATTAGCTTATGGAATTAGTTGTCATCAGCAGTAGTGGAAGCTGCCACCTTTCAGGAGTTTAAGAGGGGAATCAACAATTTCTTGAAAAATAGAAGGCAGGTTTGTTTTTTTTTAAAGGTTTTTACTCTGCTCAAAGGTTGGTGTGCAAGGACAGCCTAGAAAGAAATCTCAAATGGTTCATTGTTGTCTATATTAGTGTATGATATGTTATGAATTCCTGAAAAATAATGGGTTGCATGTATTGGGATAACTGTAGTATCTGACAATCTAAAATATTTTTGAATTCTCTTCTGCTTGTAAGTTATACTGATAGTGATATATAATTAATACGATTATATAACTTTTATTTTTAAAGCATTCCTATGAAATTAAGATATTATTTAAATTAATGCTTACAAGTTTTCACAGGGAACCTTTGGAGAGTGTGGTAAATACTCCTCCTCTCCTGACACCACAGAATACTCCCTTTGTTTCAATAAGACAAAATAAATAAATCCTATACTAATGTAATTGAAATTCATTTGAAGATCGAAATATCCATGTAATTATAAAATTTAACTTTACTACTTCACTACGCATGTATTTTAGTAGACATGTGCTCAGTAGCGCCACTGCGATGAAATATACAAAACGTTTTTTTCTTTTTATTTAGTGAATAAACGAATTTAAATTTAATCAACTTTCATATCTTATTCTATTGTAATAAAATATACAAATACTGTTATTTTAAATTTATACAAAAATGTTCTTCCACTTTGAGAAATAGTATTTCGTTACAGTATTTCACAACTATCTTAATTATTTTGAAAACAATCACTGTCTTACAATACTTTTATTTCGGTACATATGGAGCCTTTCTTTTCACTTTCTGCACAGTATCAGCACCATCTCCAGATGGAAATCTAATATTTTTATGTATAAGCAGCTTTTTAATCAATAAGTCTGAGAATAAAAACTTCACATATAAAAGAAACACAAATAAAACTAGAGTACGAACAACAATGAAGGAAGGGTAAAATCTACTAAAGTGATTGCACTTCTTATCGGGGCAGGATTAAGAGCTGAAAGCAAGAGACTCAAAAAGGAAAGAAAGAAAAGGGAGAGAGAGATGAAAAAAATATAAAGAATAATTCAATTTTGTAGTTTCCCACAATCTTTCATTACATACCTTAACCATAGCCCTACACACAAGTTAAGTCCTGAAATGCCTCGCAAGGTATAGATATTCATCGACTTCTTGGTTTAAAAACAGAAGTTTTTGATAAGATGGACATCATTCTCACCAAAGTTTGTGAAAGCTTGGGGTTTGTAAGAACGCGCCTCCTGGACTTTCGTGCATTCTCGAATCGAGTCCTCACTTCCACCATAGCTTCTTCATCTACATTCTAGAACATAATGTTACGTCTCTGTTCGTTTGCTAATTTTCCGTAAAAATTCTTTCCGAAGAAACTTTAGCGATAAAAGTCCTTTCTTAAATAAAACTAGTTTATTATTTCTCAATACAACTTTGCAATACACTTAATTTCCACAGTCATGCTATAACTTAAACAAACGCTATAATTCACAACGAACGATTCACGCGCTTGACTCAATCGTCCGTCTCTATCTCTGTCTGCAATTCAATTACATTGTTTCCGTCACTTTTTACCGATCTTATATATACAAAAAGCGTACATCTCGTTTCTTCGCGAATCTTCTAAAATATCATGACGTGTTACCAGCGTTACGTAACTACTGCTGTCGTAACAATAAATTTTATATGGTCTCAGAAACTCACTTTTCATGATAACACGATTTACAAATGTTAATGCACCAGATATTCAGCAGAAAAAGAAGCATGTTCAAAATAAAATGTGTATTAATAATTCTTTGATCACAGTACAACATTTTACTTTTTAATACACTGACATCTGCCATGTCATGAAAAGTATCTGCAAAATGCATACAGGTTCTGGGCTGTTAATCAAAGGATAAATCAAACATATAAAGCAAAGGAAAACAAGTGGACGAAAGCGAATAAAAGAAGTTTTTATTTGTAAAATTGTGTGTATTTTAATAATTTCCAACTTATTAGCTTGTTTCTAAACTAAATGACTGCTATCTGGTTGCTGTTGGCACAGGCAGGATCAAGAGCTAAAATCCCAAATCAACAGAGAGCCAAAAACAACATCAGGAATGTTGGAAATAAACCAATCAATTTTATAGTTAAACTGAAGCTTAAATGCATTTTCCCACAGTCCCTACGTTACGTACCTTAACTGTAGTTATACACAGGAAAACCAAACTATTCTAAGCTAGTTTGTACAGGTTTCTTTATCACTTCTTTGAATAGGCTACTTTATTAGAATTCAATTCAGAAACACTTGCGTGGTAGTTTGAACCTCAAAAACAAAGGTTGCAGTATTGTTAAAATTTCTTCTATCATTAGATGGGCTCTTTTGGATTATTTGAATAAAAAATGTCAAATACAGTACATGTAGCAGTAACAAATTAGTATTGTTACGACAGCGGAAGTCACGCTGGGAGCATGCGCGTTGGAGTTTATCGGGAAGCCCGAGTTTGTTCAGGACGCCCTCTTTTTTAGTATGTAAGCCTGGCGAGAAAAACCGGCAGATACATTGAAGAGATAGATAATTGAGTCAAGCGAACAGTAGGCACCTTAAGTAAAGTGTGTGAATCGCTGTGATTTATAGCTTGTGTTATAAAGGTTGTTAAGTTTAAAGTGACTGTGGAAATTCTGTGTATTACTAAAATTTGTATTGAGAAAGAATTAACTAGATTTAATCAACTGTTGCGTATCTGCTCGTTATTAATTTTCGGTCCAAATTCTTTCCGAGAAATATCAGCGATACAACTCCTTTCTTAATTAAAACTAGTTTATTCTTTCTCAATACAACTTTGTAATACACAGAATTTCCACAGTCAATACGTTTTCAATTTCGATAACAAAACACACACTTTATATTACCGTCACAAACGCTCGCTTGACTCAATTATCTGTTCTATATCTATCTGCAATTATATCTCCGCTTTAGTTGCCTGGCTTATATATCAAAAACGAGGGCGCCTAAAACAGACTAGAGTTGCGAGGAAAAGTCAAGATCCTTCAGAATCTCATGACGTGTTACCAGGGTCACGTGACTTCCACTTTTATAACACAACAAAGAATTTGTATCGCTGAAGTTTCTCGGAAAGAATTTCCAAGGGACATTAACAAACAAGCAGATACATCACAAATGGGTGTCAGAAGTGGGATAAAAAAAATTAAAGAAATATGGAAACGAGAAGTGGCAAATCAAACTACGACTTAGCAGATTTAATAGCAGCAATACAAAAACAGCAAAAGAAACAAGAAGAACGATAAAATAAACAAGAAGAAAGCAACAAGAAATGGAGAAGGTCATGGATGGCCTAATTAAGGAAGGGACAGTCGAGAAATCAGATAGTCCCTGGTCAGCTCCTGTCGTGTTAGTCCAGAAGAAGGATGGGACCCAACGCTGCTGTGTGGACTTCAGGGCTCTTAACAGCATAACTGAAAAGGATTCATACCTGCAGCCAAGAATTGATGATACTCTTGATGCTCTAAGTGGAGCCAGGTGGTTTCAGCTCTGGACTTAAAGTCGGATTTCCATCAAGTGAAAATGGCTGAAGCAGATAAAGCTAAGACTGCATTTAATTATGGCCTATATCTCTGGCAATACTGTGTGA